AGAATCAATTATTTCAGTACCTCTCCATGACCTTAGGCAATTGGATTAAAATTAATATCTGAGCAGCTCAGATGAGTTAAGGCAAGTACCTGCCCTGGTTATTTCCCAGTGTTATGTAATTAAGTGAGAAAGCATTTATGGAAAGCACAAAATGTAAATCAAGGGAAAGGTACAATGACTTACTTTGCAGGCATCTCTCTTGCCTGACATTACGCCTGCACAGAGCATCCGAGAAGTGATGATCCCGTAGGTGGAAACACAGAGAGTTTGATCAATGAGCTCTACCTCTGCTTGCTGCAGAACAAGGGAGCCTTTATTATCTGGAAAACACATTGGAAGTAGAAGTGTTGTTAGTGGTAATGGCTACATGTATTCAGGGCTTCATTTGAAAAGTTAACACACATTATCTCCTTTTACCCTCATAGCAGCAATTCTTTGAGGTAAATTCTACTATCATCCTCATTTTGCTGATGAATAAATGGAGTCTTAAGAGACTAAAGGACTTGCCTGGTGACACACAGCTGGCAAGTAACACAAAAGTCAGACCGAAGGTCTGACTCAATTACTTGAACAACTGTGCCATATTCCTCACCATTTCCCTCCTGTTTTCAGTAGGACAGTGAGTCAGCACCAGTTATTACCAATATCTACTATTCAAGAGAGCTCTTTAACAGCATAACTGATGTATAGGAGTCTCTGATGAACCATAAAAACCCAACAGTTTGCATGTAGCCCTTTCACTTCCTTTTGAACCTACCTAGCTAAGAAGATTCAAAAAAATAAGCACACACACACATACTCAGACTTATAAATAAAACACCTCATAAGTTGGTTGGGAAGACACTTTCCTTTTATGATATACGATAATGTAATCAAAGCACTGAGCCCAGTAACCTATCAAAGTTACAAGTGTTCAGTCCGCTGCCTTCCCTCCTTAGGACCCTGAGACTTCAGTGGACCCAAACTGGTGGTGAGTATTACTACTTCAATAACTAAATGAAAGCAGTGAGAAGCTGCCTTTGAGAAGCTGCCGACACTTTAGAGTGTCAAAATGAGGCTACAGGGTAAGGTTCAAGAATTACAGACACTGTGTGTGTCCTAAACCCTTGAAAAGGACGGCAAAAGAATGTGAGGTTATTGGAAGATCATGGGAAAATATTAGCACTAGCATTTGAGGAGACATTCACAAAGCACTGGATTCTTCCCCTCACTATATATTCAGAATCCCACCTTAAATCCTGGACCATGAAAAACCTTGGCAGGGTAGATGTAGGGACTTCCCTACTATACAGCCTGATCTTTGTGCATATTGAAAAGATGTCCTCTCAGGTCAGAGGAATTGCAAAAAGGTATCGTCTCTGGGTGGACTGAATCCGGGCTGGAATAAGCTCCAGGCCTGAATTTTTGGTTTGGGAACTAAGGGAAGGCTGGAGTTCAGACCTCACTCTTATCCCTTGGCCAATTGCATAGGTGCAGGACATACTCACATAATCTTCCAGACTGTTGCCTATGAGTTGACATAGTGGAATGTGTATGTGTGTCCTTCTCTCCTTTATAAATGAATCACTTCTTTGAATGAAAACGGAGGAATCGCTCCTTCTCTAATGAATAACATAGCATACTCTTCAGAGTGTGACAAGGGCCCATAACTATCTAGCCAATCCTGCCTTGCTCATACACAGTCCTCTCCCTCTTTGAGATGAGCCCTTCTTTTGAAGCAGGTGGAAAGCATCGTTAAAAAGGAAAAATAATACCGTCCTCCAATCCAACCTTCCAGAGTTGTCAGGAGGCTCAAAGGAGATGATATACACAAACCCTCTCTGTGAACCCTAAAGCTCTACATAAACACCTTATCATCCTCTGAAGGGGAAGGGCATAACCACTCATTCATACACACACCTGCTTCATGCCTTCGCCCCCAGCCAGTTACCCAGCACTTCTCCCCACTGCGAACTCTCTGGCCAGAGGGAGGAATGCATATTGGCTGAATGAGCTGTTTCAAGGTCTCAGGCCAGGCAATACTGAGCTGTAGCAAAGCGATATCATAATCGAAAGTCTGACTGTTATAGTACTCATGGACCACAATTCTTCTCACCGGGGAGACAAACTTGGCGTTCCCCTGAACATACATCCCAAGGTGTGCAGTCCATGGTGTGGGATCTGACAGCCTGATAGAACAGTAATGAAACACAAAGTTAGCAGCTTAAAGAACCATATATCATTTGCAAACAAGCACTCTAAATAGTTGAGGGCTGAAAAAGAAGGGCCTGACTTCCCTTACTATAGCCACCGGCCCTGTCTAGGGACTATGGCAGAAATCATAATTGTAGGCCTCCCTTTTCTCATTAATAAAGCCAGAAATGAAGTAAGCTGTAGTAGGAGTGACGAGTTATAGAAAATTCATTCAACAATATCCTCAGCAAGCCTGGACATTTTCTTGCCACTGGTATTCCACAAACCACACAGGTCAAGAATGTTGGTAACTAGAATTAATTTGTTGCATTCTTCCTATTCATGCTGACAATGGCATTTGATGGAGAACCCTACTACCAAATTTAAATGATATGAATACCAAGATAGATTAGCAATCAAAGTGTTATAAGCAGGAACTTAATGAAATTCCTTCTGGCAAACTACCAGAAGCCTTAATGATCACTACTCTTACTGCTCAACAATGCCCATTCAAGGGTCACCAACCCCCATTCCCATCAGTCTTTTGAGAATCCCAATATTGACCCCCATGACCTTGCACAAGTCACAAAAGGACTTGTAATCTCCATGTTAGACTTCCATCTCCATCAGCATAACAGTGGGGGCAGAGGGTGGGAGTGAAGAAAATGAGGAAGCCCCAAAATTTTGCTCGCTAATCTGCTTAGCTGATGTCTCATGAGTGGCAGTGGACACCCAAAGAAATATTAGGGTTAACACATTATTTGGAGCAGTTTCACAGCATTAGAGACTAATGATCAAACAGATGTGAAGCTATCTTAATAATTAATACAAATCCTATAATTTCCAGGAGAAGCAAATACCCAAATTGTATAACTTCATTGAAATACAAAAAACAAATACAGAATGAGAAGTGAATTATTTTTTTCAACCTAAGATTCAGTAGATTCAAAATAAGTTTAAATTTTAAGTAAGGTTAATTTCTAAGATGTCTTCTTAACCTTAGCTGGAAGATCATCTGTCGCATAGTAATCCCATTGCTAAAGACAGACAAACCAATCCTAATGGGCCTCTCCAGGATCCCCCTCCTAGTTTAAATAGGGATCTGCATTTTGCTGTCACTCTCCCGTGCCCATTCTTCTCCGCATTCTCTACACATTCTCTCTTAAGTTTGTTCCCTCTGAGTTAAAAGCCCTATCTTATTTTCTCAGCCTTAGTAAAAGCCTATTTATTCTTGATGTTTCTTTTGTGTTCTTTTTTTGTACAAATAATACCTAAAAAAAAGTTTGTCACACACATGGGATCCAAAAAAATGAAAGCTCAATTGAGTTGACCGAATGTCTCCAACAGGGATCTGCTTCCCACAATTTGAGGGCAGATATATCATCTGTGGCTAGAGAGTGCCACTTGAGAGTAAGGATTGAGATGCCCTACCTGTTTCCATGAAAACAGTGGGCTGCAGAAAGAAGCCACTCCCTGGAGATGACCGAGGCACCACAGTAGGCAGATCCAACAAAGTGGAGGCTGACTTGCCACGGCCAACCCCCCTCCAGGGTGTCTGTGCCCCCAACGATGCGGTGAAGGGTGGAGGAACTCCTGCTGCAGGCTTTAGTGGAGAAAGGGCATGTGATTTAATGATCGACATGGAAGAAAAATGGAAATGAAGCCAGGTTTAGTGCTAGCTGGAAACTGACTCACTAGGTAGCAATTTGAAATCTTATTTAGAGGACAGAGAATATGTGAATCCGTCTGAAACCAGTACCAACAAACCACTCCCCCCTTTCTGAAGCATGCCCTGACACAGGCTCTAAACCACAATGCATGTGGGAGGAGGAGGGAGACCTGTTGTAACAGCTGGACTGACATCAACAGCAGCCTGTGGACTTAGATTGTCAGGTAAAGAGGAATGTAACTGAATTGAGAATTTCTTTGAAGTTATGCTGATGTGACAAGAAGCATTTGGGAAAAGATTTATAAGTCCCTGACAAATGAAAACCTACTGGGAAAACTAGTTATCAGAGCAATTGTTTACCAGCGTAAATAGTATTGGTAAAGACGTATAATTTACATGTTGCCATATAGCCAATTAGTGGCTATGTGACTAATAGGAGCATGCGGGAGATTAGTTATTGGGTCAAACCTAAAGCAAGAAACAGCACTTGATATTGTTCTTAACATAAGACATTATTAACAAGTCAACAATAGATACCGTGTTCCAGTACCTATTTATTTTCTCACAGGATGTTTTTTATTCAAGATCTTCTCCCTTGATTAAAGTTATTAGAAAGTGAAAGTTCTCGTTATAAAAATTTATTAATGCTGTTATCAAGAAGACAGAATCCATTCTAAAGTTTTTATTTCTGAGAAACAATTTCAGACTCAGTTTGCCAATAGTTACTATTCTCTTGGCTTATGTCAACCTCCAAGAAGGGAATGAAAATATAAAACAAGTAAACTGAAGAGGGAATACAGGAATCCAAAGAATGAATTTCTACTCACTGCAGCCTTCTTCGTCACTTCCATCTGGACAATCCACTGTCCCATCACATTTTGCATTTTGTTTCCTAAAGCAAATATCATTGCCACACTTAAAAGTCCTGTTGTTGCATGGAATACCTAAAAACAGACAAAAGAAGAAACAGCTTACCCTAGCCAGAAACAAATTAAGTAAGTGAGATTTGAATGCATAACCCCGAACCTCATAACAATGGTTGAATCATAGGATTGGTATTTGCTGCTCTGGGATAAATGGCAGAGAGAAGTGAAACAACCTCACAGTGATCTGTTTCTTCACCTAAGAAAAGCCATTTGAAGGCTGGCAGGCATATCTGTTGAGAATCAATCCGACCACCTCCTCTTTCTCCTACAGCTGGTGAGAGGTGAAGAAGTGCACCATATCAGTGGCATTAGGCTGGAGCCTCTTTGCTATTACCTTGTCTTATTCTCCAGAAAATCTTTTGAGCAAAAATCACTGCCATATTCAGTTATTTTATATCAGTAGGCAGCAAATGGACAGATTTGTTAATTACAGCACATTTGTTCACAACCCGAGAGGTTTGTTTCTGCAAGGGTGACAGTGAAATGTGTTCCATTCCAGTATTTGGCAAGTTCCTCTACATCAGGTCCTCTGTATCCTACAATCTTGAGCATCATGAAAAGCAAGTAAGCAATAAGAATCTGCCAGTATTCATACAACACACACACACACACACACACACACACACACACACACACACACACACACACTCCACCCCATTAAGAGTGACCAACTGTCCCGATTTGTTCCCTTGGAACTAAAGGGGTTCCCAAGACAAGGAGCTTTCAGTACTAAATCTGGAAAAATTCCAGAGAAACTGGGACAAAGTTGATTGCCATCACCCCTAACCCATCAGCGGTATTTTTGTCCTGATTCAGGAGAGTTTCATAGGAGGAACAGCAGGGCACAGAGGACCCTCCCTCACTTTGAGTGCAGTTTTCCTCATCCTGGCCATTCTCACAGTCCCTGACGCCATCACAGATGAGAGGGCCATGCTGCCTGAAGGAGCTGGTATTGCAGGTAGGTTGAGGGCTCACTAGAATAAAAAATAAAACAAAGTTCATGCGCCTGAGATACCAGCTGGGTTCTCTGATGATCAGCAGTGTCAGTCTCAAGGTACAAATCATTCCGATCACTTAAATAAAACAAAAAGTCTATTTTCCTCAAAACTGACACTTCCATGAGGAAAAACAGATGTTTAAACTTTGGCGTAATGTCTAGCACTTGAGTTTGTCAAGTCTGATTTTTGCTTTTGTATAAATGCGTTAAACTCTAGTGGCTTATTTATTTAATTACCACTAAATGCATCATAGTAATTTATTTTAAGGAAAATAAAAATCATAAGCTACGATCTAAATTAAACTCGTCTATTTTTCTCAGCAAAATAAAAGTGTTCTGAGATTGGAGATTTTGTCTTCTTCATCTCTGTACCTCAAGCTCCTGAACAAATAGTAGTTGTTTACTAAAGATTTGTTGAATGAATTAATGAATGTGAGATCTTAAAGGATAACAGACTTTGGGTTTATGTTGTCCTGTGGTCTCTTTGGAATTATGTTGTCTGATGAGATCCATTTCCTGAATTAGGAAATATTCGTGTAAATCTATCACATTTTTCCCCTTTGGAATACTTTCATTAATTGCCTTCAGACCAGCAACAAGTACAAGGAAGCAAATTTAGAAAGCATGATTTCTTAGACATTTCTGGTTTTGTGAAAAGTTACCAGTTTTGCTATCTGCACCTGTTTTTTCAGAGTTATCTCTTGTGAGGGCAGGTAGGAGGATATTGCTGCCCTAAAATTGTTCATTAGGTCTCTGGGCATACCTAGTGGACTCTTAGAGAATAGCTCCAAAAAACGGCACAATGAGGAATAATGATTACCCAAAAGTCCTTATTATAAATTAACAAGAATCATTTTTGTTTGGAGAATCAGCACCAGCACAAATAATAATAATGTAAAAAAACCTCAGTCACTATATAACAATCAGTATTTATTTTCTTAAGAAATCAAACACTATAGATTTAAATAATCAATGAACCATAAGCTTAGACAAATTTTTTGTTTTGTTTTGCCAATTAAAAAAATAAGGTATAAACTAGGCATGGTGGTTCATGCCTGTAATCCCAGCACTTTGGGAAGCCAAGGTGGGAGGATTGCTTGAGGTCAGGAGTTCGAGATTGGCTAGGGCAACATAGTGAGACCCCATCTGTATGAAAAGTAAAAAAGTTAGTGGGGTTCACGGTGTGTGCCTGTAGTCCAAGCTACTCAGGAGACTGAGTGGGGAGGATCCCTTGAGCCCAGGAGTTCGAGGCTGCAGTGACCTATGATCGCACTACTGCTCTCCAGCCTGGATGGCAGAGCAATACCTTGTCTCTAGAAAAATAAATAAATAAAGTATATCATTGTGGGGGTTCATTCAGGGTGGTGGCAAAAATATTAAAGGAAAAATATTAGAGATAGCTTTAGGGAATAGTCACAAACCTTTTTGGAAGGCCAAAGGTTTACATAGCTTGTAATGACTGAATGGGTCGAAGTTGACCAGCTGTTACCCTAGGGCATTAGGACAGTAGAATATATACTAGAAATTGTAAAAGAAGTTTCTCCAGATAAGTCCTTACCTCCATCTCCATTAGCAAAACCTTTGATCATCGCTAGTGGTTAACTGCCTTCTACAGGGGATCAGCACAAATTAATTATCCCCTAATGGTATTGATCCAAAGACCCTTAACCTTTGATACACTAAATAAAAACCTGGAGTCGGGACTGCTGGAGGCTGGCTGCCATTAACTCCTTTGAGTGAGTGGCCTGGGCACCCCAGCTCACTCTTCCACTGCATTCTGTGTTTGGGTGTATGTTATTCATCCGTCGCTGAGTCAGGGTCTGCAGGACAGAACCCCACAGATGGTGACCCTGACATATAGTCACAGGTTATTTTTCATTAATATAATTTTCAATTACATATAGCATAGTAACAATATTTTTCCAAGAATATGAAAAAGATTAGCATCACCATTGCAACTGTATTTGATTTAAACACTCTGGACTTTCACGAGAAAATGCCGCCATTGGTGTCACATAATCCAGTGAATTGTCCTTCCCATATTGCTCCCTGAAACTAGACTTAGATTCAGGAATGAGGTGCAAATGGTCATGAAAAATTAAGACAGAGATTCTCCACCCAAAATAAGAACACGCAGTTATCCCACACTTTAGTCATCACCAAGGTAATGTCAGTACAAATTGTACAGGTTAGAAAAACAACAAAACTTTATCTTTTATGGGGCTGGCTGCAGTGGCTCATGCCTATAATCTCAACACTCTGGGAGGCCAAGGCAGTTGGATTGCTTGAGGCCCAGAGTTTGACACCAGCCTTGACAACAAAGTGAGACATTGTCTCTAATAAAAATCTTTTAAAAATTAGTGAGACGTGGTGGTGCACACCTGTAGTCCCAGCTACTCGGGAGGCTGAGGCAGGAAGATCTCTTGAGTCCAGAAAGTCAAGGCTGCAGTGAGCTGCGACCATGCCACTGCACTCTAGCCTGAGTGACAAAGCGAGACCTGTCTCAAAGAAACGAACACACACACACACACACACACAAAACCCGTTCTCCTTTATTTATAAACAATAGTTCAGAGCTGGGCCCCATAAAGGAGCATGCTGAAGGAGTACTGCTCTGCAAATTCTGAGTTTCTCTCTAGGTGGAGAATCTGCCTTCAAATAGGATTTCGATGTTTAAGATTGTGGTGAATTAAGTTATAAGCCGCAGATCTTTACTCCCTGTGGTAGCATTATGCACCCTAATGTTACCATAGTCCCAAGGTGTACAGAGTAAATTTCCCTACCCTTGACTTTGTTCTCAGCTATGTGACTTGCTTTGAACAACAGAATGTAACATCAATGATGGCATACCAGTTTCAAGCCCAGGCCTTAGGAGAAACCATGTTGTTTCCGCTCTCCCCTCTTTTCCTTTTGCCACTGCCATGACTAGCCCACTGGCTCTACGAGGCAAAGAGCCATAAAAAGTAGAGCTGATTCCAATCTTGGAAGAATCAAGTTCAGGAGGACCCAATGCTTGAAGCAGAGCCACCCATATGAGCCCCGCCTAGATTAGTCAGATCCCAGAAAATCCACAGATGCATGATCAAGAATAAATGATTGTTTAAGCCACCGGGTTTTGGGGTAGTTGGTTATGCAGCAATAGATAATAACTGCAAAGACTAAGGATATATACCAGCAGCAATCATGGTCCTTAGAAGTTACTTATTCGTCAGAAAGTCATATTAAAAGCTTGAATACCCACCGCAAAACAGTTCGTCACTTTCATCCAAGCAGTCATTTACTCCATCACAGCGCTGGGCCTGAGAGACACATAAACCGGAGGAGCATCTAAAAGATCCAACAGGGCAGGCTACGTGCAAGAGAAAATAGAAAATTTTGGATAGATCCCTGAAAATCACTAGACCACATTAGCAAAGAAATATGAAGTGTGAAACGGTTAGGGAGTTGGCAGTGTACCAGTAATAATTATACAGTGTCTCCATCAAATGAAGGCTGCCAGTCATTGAAAGACAAAAATGCAGAACACAGAAGAGCAAAGAAGAAAGCAGTATCCACCTGGCGCTCTGGGTGAACACTGCATTCGGGTCATATCCACAAGCAAACTTCTACTACCTCCATAGTCTAGTCTCAGCTCAATGACTTTGTCATTTACCTGAAGAATGTAAACGCTGGAACATACCTAAGGGAGCCCTGCATTTTTAATGTGGAGTCTTTAGACTGCCCCAGAGAATTTTAAATTGATTTCTGGTGTCCCTGAATCTTCTGTGATCAGATGAATTATTCTGTATGTCTTAAATTACATTTTCAAGTGAGCTGTGCTCCAAAACATACTGGTAAACACTGCTCTTATCACATTGGTCCTGGAGAGACTACTGACTGTCCGCAAACCTAGACTCCTGCCCCCACCTCCCTGTCCATTAGTCTTTCCTCTTCAACCAGGCTTCTGATCAATGATCCATTCCCTGATTCAAGATTCATTCCTGATATTGAATCATTCATCCTGAGCTTATAGATAAACATTAGAGAACAAATAAATCCTTCCTCCCCTTGTCCAAAAGAATGTGGGAGAGTATATGGTCAAGTCAAACACAATTTCAATGGCACATGATGGAGTGGATGAGATGCTGGAAAATAGTTATAGTTTGAAAAACAATTAAAAATAAAACAGCTTACTTACTTATCTACCTGTGACTCTGCTGGAAACTGTAATACTCTGATATTCAGGATGTAATATTCTGAATCCAGAAGAAGGTCTATTAGGGATCGGCAAAGAATGATATAGTCTAAATAAATGTTCTCTGAAGTCATATCCTTGTGGACTCCTCAGTGAGCAATCTTTAGTTTTCCCCTCTTAAAATGGGTCGAAGATTTCCTGAGCATGTCATTATCTACTCTCTGCAGTTCTAATGACTTCCCTCACACATTGCCCTTTCTGATGAGCCCTTCCTGGCCACTCTTCCAGTAGTTTTCAGTATGAATTTCAAGCTCAACATTCTGAGGACTGATATTTGAACTCCCGTCACCAAACAACTCTTCCTGTGCAAGCACGGACCAAAGTGAGTGACAAGTGTTGGCTCTGGATCCACTACATGCTACTGTGAACATCATATTTACAGAGAATGACAGCTAGCAAGGACAACAAACCAATAAATGTCTTGTCTTTAAGGAATAATATGAGAAATTATTTTTCAACTATAAATCAGTAACATTTAAAAGTTATGTTATTTCTTTAATAAAGTACAGTAGTAATAAAGATGTAATTTTGTATATTATTTATATTATATATCATATATTTTATATATTATGTATTTTTATATTATTTATACTTGTATTTTATATTTATTTATTATAAAAATAAGTGTGTAAAAGGAAATAGGAGAAATAAAGCAGTGTTCATTTCTTAAATTCTCACAGTTTAGAGTTAGAAAATGTTATCCTCCATGTAAGTATTTATTAAGGTTTTCTAAGGAAGTGATCCCAGGCTTACGTTGACTGATGTTGTAACTGCCATATTCTACCAAAAGTGGCTTGTCCGAAAGCCTTGAACTGCACTGGAGCTGAATGTGAACCAGAGGGCTGGGCACTCGAAAAATTGTCTGATGATCCATATAGGAGCCACAGTACCTGAGGAGATAAGAGTCAGGGAGCACACACAGCTTGAGGTTCTGTTGACTGCGTTTCTATTCAGGATGAATTCTGTAATACTTTGATCATTTGGTTTCCACAAACAGAGATGCGTATGGTAGAGATAATGGTAGTCAGGCATTCTAGGCCACGTGACTGTGATCAAGTAACTTCTGCCCTCTCTATTTTCTCCTCTGCCTAATAGAACAATAACAGCACCACTGACCTGTTGCTTTCCTCACCAACACTTATGACCCAAAGAAACATGGATTTAATCCTCCCAGTCCTCTCTCCTTTTACAATGTGAAAACCTGTGTAACACAAGAATTGCCTGCTTTTGTCCACAAGCCGCTCTGCCAAGGAAAGTGGAGTCCATTTGTTCAGGTTGAAAATATGCAAAGAATTCCAGCAAGACTAAAAGCAAAAGATAACATTATTTCAATCTAAATTGAAATTCTATTTGTACATAAGGGCTTGTCCTTGGCAAAAGTTCAAGGAATTAATGTATCTGTCTCCAATATTTCCCTACCTTGATTTTTTTTCTTATCTCTCATCACCTAATGCCCCCCAGCATCCTTTTGAGAAAAATATTCCTCCTGTTAATAATTCTTCTACATTAGCACTGTGGTTAGTGGAGAATGCAGTATTATTATATTGCAGGCCTGTAAGTTAGTTCACCGCCCTGTATAGGTGAGGCACTTCCCGCAGTAAAACCTGCAAGCTTGATGGGAGATGGCAGAAACAAGGCTTGGGGGTAACAACCTCCACTGGAGCCTGTGATGCCAATCACTCCAGACCCCCAAAGCACTTGGGAAACAGGCATGTTCCATGGATCAGACACTGGCATTCAGGAGCACAGATAATCTATGATTTTAAGGACTAAAGGAGGAAAGCATTCATGTGTTATTCAGGAAAGGTCTTCTGAAATTGGCTGAAGTACAGGAACTGATGAGCTATTAGACCAGCTTCTGAGACATGAGGAAGATAGGGCAAGTGCAGATGTCCTTCTGGCTAACTGGGAGCCAGGGTTTGAGAGGCACCTGAAAGCCAAGACAAGCCAGAGTTGGCCACCTTGAGATCAGAATCCTGTGCTCTTAAAAACATGCTATATTATCTGAATCTCATAGTGATTTTCTTTATGTTCACCATTAACGTTTAGTAGTGTTTCTTTGCAGAGATGAACCTTGCTAGGCATGTTAAGGAGAATCAAGAGGAAAGAGATCACATGTTTGGGCAGGAGTTTAAAGGGGAGAGGATGCAATGAGGCATAAGGGTGGCTTATGAAATGCAAGTTTTAAAAGTGACAGACTGGAGACAGCCAGCAAGATCAGTTTCTATAGACAGACACATGATAAGTGAGGAAACTAACATAGAAAGATGTGAAATAACTTGCTAAAGTTCAAATAGCCAGTAAGTAGAACCAAGATTTGGATACCAACTGGCCTGAGGCAGGAGAATCACTTGAACCCAGGAGGTGGAGGTTGCAGTGAGCCAAGATCACACACCAGTACTCAGCCTTGGTGACTGAGCAAAACTCTTGTCAAAAACAAAAAACAAACAAACAACAAAAAACTCTGTCTCAAAAAAAAAGAGAACTATTCAATTGAGTGCCTGTCATAGATTTAGAAGCAAATCAACAACAATTAAGAGAGAAATTAAGAGTGAGAGTAAGCATCTAGTAGATTGGTTCTAGAGCCAAGTAGATTGATTAACCCTAAGTCCCTCGATTTCTGATTAGCTTCAACCCATTTTTCAGCCTCAGGATCCAGTCAGGCCAACTGGGACTCTTCTACCACACAGAATTGGTTAATGGTCTCTAACTTTCTTTTTTTTTTTTTTAACCAGCAAACCCCCAATTTATTATGGACCCCCATGGATCCAGGACTTGAAAAATTCATCTGCCAAATACTCTTGTGAAGTGTAGAATGCACACATCTGTAGCCCAGCAGCAGAGAGCAGTGGTGCGGCAGGAGCCCTAAGACATGGGTGTGAATCCTGCCTCAATTACTTATGAGCTGCATGGCCTTGAGCAAGTTACATAACCCCTATATCCCTCAGTTTCCCTATCTGTAAATGGTAAAGTGCAAAGTCTTTGAGGACAAGGAACACACAGCTATGAACCTTTCATCAGATGCCTAACATATGAAGATCACTTACATGTGCTCATTAATTTCCCACCATCCATGCTCACAGCCTTTCATATTCTTCTTGGTTATTGAATAGTTATGGAATTTCAGTGCTATGCCAAGTGTTGATAGAGAAGTCTGTGAAAACAAACATTAAGTCAGAAAAAAACGCTTCAATCAAAGGATGTATTTACTCTGTCCTGTGGCTTGTTGTTTTAAGATCATTCTACTCCTTGTGCTCTGTGGCCCCTGGTGGAGTAAACCAGTTCTCCTGAACAAAGCGGGATGAGGAAGACAATATGGTGAAGAGGGAAGCAGGCAGCCATGGATTCAGGGAGCAGCTGCTGGGTCCCAAGTGCAGCAGGGTGACTTAGGACATATCAGTGTCTCTGGATTTCAGTTTCTCTCTGTTAGTGTGAATTTAACTTTAAAAACACCCACTTGTTAATGAGTGTAAACACCTTCCTCTTTTAATATTCACAATGACACAGTTGATTTAAAGTGTCATTCAGATTCTTTAGATAAAGGAGAAATGAATCAGCATCCTCTTCATATTAAATTCAGTGTTTCTGAAGACTGTTAGTGAGTCACCCCTAGATCTTCCTGGAAGACATCAAAAGAGAAAGCTGCCTATGTGTATGAGCAAACACATAGTGTGTGTGTGTGTGTGTGTGTGTGTGTGTGTGCGCGCGTGCGCGCGCGCGCGCGCGCGCGCGTGCGCACATGCGCACGCACACACACACACAATACAACTGACTTATTTGTTGCATTTTGTGGTATACGTGTATATTATGTCTGATATGACATAAAGTTTTAGTTTTGATTTTCACTTTCACCCAGGAATTACTTAAGGATTTTTTACATTTAAGAGAGTTAAATTTGGGTTCATCCATTTTCAAGCTTTCTAATTCTTTCTTAATTGAATAAGAGTATCATTTATAGTGCTTTAAATTTTTTTAATTTTGTGATCAAATTTATGAATACTTCATGGCCATTTTTAAAAAAGGAGTAGTCTGCATATATATAACACCACTAAGGAGGACAGACTTGCTCTCTCCTCCTCATACTTGCTGGTCATCTGAGGCCCTGCATTTCTGCTGCCCTGAAGCCTTGAGAATCTGGCAGTGAACAAGGGTCCAGCACCTTTATCTCCTAATCACTTTGGAAATGTTTGTAATAGTTATTTTTTTTTAATTTAAGGATACATGCCGTCAAGATATTGACACCAACTTGCAGGTGTGGGTAGAGTAATGAAATTATTTGAATGATTATCACTATGCACAAATAAACATATATGCATCAAGCACGCTCCTGCCTCAGAGTCCCTGCCTCAGCTGTTCCCTTTGCCTGCAAAATTCTTATCCCATTCACAAGGTTAGTTCCCTCATCTTTCAGGTTTATCTGCAAATGTTCCCTTGTCAGCAAGACTTTCCCTGAGCATCCTATTTAAGATAACAAACACCTAACTTGTTATCCCCCACACCTCCCATCCCAACTCAAGCTGTAGAGCCCTCTTCCCCGCTTTACTCTTTTCCATAGCATTTTATCTTATGACACAAATTACATGTATTTATCTTGTTTGTTTATGACTTGCCTTCCTATACTGGAAGGTAAGCTCCATGAGAGCAGGGCTGCTTCTGTGTGTGTGTGTGTCTGATTTCATGGATCCCCAGTGTCCAGAATCATGCCTGAGTGCCTGGCCCACAGTCATCATTCAATAATATATTGAATAAATGCAAACAACATGCTGCTTGCCATTTGCATCTAATTCATCTAAATTGCTATGCCACACAATAATGATTTTATATGTATATGCTGAATGAACAAAGGTGACACTTTGCCCTGTCTCCATGTGATATTATAGGTGGAAAAAGAAAAAATAGTTTACTAAGATTTTTTTTAAAAGCATAAATGCCCTAACACCAGAGGGAGAGATAGACGATAGATAGATGATAGATGATAGACAGATAGACGGACTGGTTCCAGGAACCCCACAGATATCAAAATTCTCCGATACTGAAGTATCTTACATAAAATTGTTCAGTATTTGCATGTAATCCAAGCACATCCTCTCCTATACTTTTAATCATCTTTAGATTACTTATAATACTGAATACAATTATATTCTATATAAATAGTTGTTGTACTGTATTGGCTTTTATTTGCATTATTTTTTATTGTTGTATTTTATAGTGTGTGTGTGTAAAATTTTTTGATATGTGGTTTAATCCACAGATGCCAAACCTGCAGATACAGAGGGCTAACTGTATTGCCTAATCCAATTCATAATTTTATTATTATTCCTATTACAATGCTGGCGATGAAGCAATTAAGAATTGATAAATGTGCTCTATAATAATAAAATAATTGTGTGAACCTTCAACAATATTGAACCTTTCATACAAATAAAATTAATCTGAGAAACAAGCCCCAGTCTGCTAGAGCAGGTCATTTATGGGCAGAGGGTTGAAATTACAGAAAAGTGTTGTATTGTAAATAATGTATTTCAATAATACCAAAATTTTATAAAATTCAGCAATATTCTGTTTGTAATTAAAAAATTAATGTAATGAAATTCATATTAAACATAGAGCAGTAATATTTTTCTAAATCACTGGAAAAACTAGGCTACCTGAAATTTCCAGGTGCATTTGCATTTTGGAGGATAGTAGCTCGGGTAATATGGACTTGAAATCTTCCCTTCAAAGCCAGTTATTTCTTTTACCAACACTGTGTTTTCACACCCTGAAAAAGATGCCCAGTGACACACAATGATTCACAGCTGTGAGATTATGGAAAAATACGCTTCATACATTTATTTTATTACTAATGCACACTTCCTTGATCAATAAGCTTTATACATTTCTTAAACTTTGGGGTTTTTTTTTTCTTCAGAAGAAAGAAATAGCACCTTACAGATATATAGCTAAAATACTTATTCTCAAATTCTATATTTGTTTTTTGGCTGCAGATCTGCAGGATGCTATTACTTTCTTTAAAAACATAGTTCTGAGGTTGGTCGGTGGCTCACGCCTGTAATCCCAGCACTTTGGGAGGCTGAGGCGGGTGGATCACGAGGTCAAGAGATCGAGACCATCCTGGTCAACATGGTGAAACCCCGTCTCTACTAAAACTATGAAAAATTAGCTGGGCATGGTGGCACGTGCCTGTAATCCCAGCTACTCAGGAGGCTGAGGCAGGAGAATTGCCTGAACCTGGGAGGCGGAGGTTGTGGTGAGCCGAGATCACTCTATTGCACTCCAGCCTGGGTAACAACAGCGAAACTCTGTTTCAAAAAAAAAAACGAAAAATTAGCTGGGCATGGTGATGAGTGCCTAAAGTCCCAGCTACTCAGGAGGCCAAGCCAGGAGAATCGCTTGAATCCAGAAGACAGAGATTGCAGTGAGCAGAGATCACGCCACTGCACTCCAGTCTGGTGACAGAGCAAGACTCCATCGCAAAAAAAGAAAGAAAGAAAGAAAGGAAATAAAATAAAATTATGACTGATAATACATTAAATAAATTAATAAAATAAAACGAAAACATAGTTCTGAACTCAGTGACACCAGCAACAGCTGAACAGCAACCCCTCCTCAGAGGCCTGAGTTTCATCCCACAAATTCCTCCCTCTAAGCTCTAAACTGTAATAATCCCAACCTCTTTCCTTTGTTCACCCAGCCCTAGGGATGATACTTGCTTCCTGCACGTGTTACATCCATGATACCTTACATTTCTCTTCATGTCCTTTTTGCCCTTTGAGTAACTTTATTAACACCTTTATACTAAGTTAATAGTTCTTATTTAATTAATCCTTTCAAACTAACTAATATGGTCTCTCTCTTCTGACTGGACCCTTATTCAGAGTCCCAGCACAGCCTCCAGAAAGATAGGAATAGGCTCCCATAACAAATATTTCTAAAAGTGACATCTCTGTAACTGGAGAAGACTTACTTTGTTCTGGAATGATCTCAAAATATGCCCGGATTCCTGAGAGCCTCCGTATATGAGGAGACTTAAATGTCACCAACATGAGATTATTTGTAGAAACAAACGACATTAATGTTCTTGTAGGTTCACAAATTCTGAAAGCAGAAATAAAACAGAAGTACATGAATAGTACGTTATTTGAGAAATGGGTTTCCTGTTCAAGGAACGGGTCTTCATTCAAAATGATTTCACACATTTTCTGGGTCAGACCATTCAATCCATTCACTCAATTCTTGGGAGTCTCCCCGAACCAGATCCTCATCCATTAGCAGCCACAGGGCACTACAAAGCTGGAAAACATAGACACATTTTTGTGTAGGAACCTCTACCAGACAATCATCTGGGATGGCTGTCACTGGACGCTCCTTGAGCAGAAATATGGTAGAAAAGTCGTGTATCTAATGGCTAAGGTCCTAGACTCTGCCCTAAGGAAAACTGGATTCACAATTCAGCTCCATCACTTAAATGGATGCAAGACGTGGGGCTTAAATCTTTGTAAGCACCAGTTTCTCTTCTATGCAATAGTAGTATTACCAGAAGGGAGGCCATGTGAGTTGCCCACGTCCTTGGCATTTTAAAAAAAGAATTGAGACTGGGCGTGGTGGCTTACGCCTGTAATCCTAGCACGTTGGGAGGCCAAGGGGGACGGATCACGAGGTCAAGAGATGGAGACCATTCTGGCCAACATTCTCTACTAAACACCACTACTGGGCGTGGTGGTGCATGCCTGTAATCCCAGCTACTCAGGAGGCTGAGGCAGGAAAATCACTTGAACCCCGGGGGCAGAGGTTGCAGTGAGGCAAGATCGCGCCACTACACTCCAGCCTGGTGACCAAGCAAGACTATGTTTAAAAAGAAAAAAAAAGGAATTGAACAAAACGCACAAAGTAACAAAGGAATGAAACACAGAAACAAGAAAGGAAAGTGGGGATTTATTAAAGCACCCCACAAGGTGGGAGTGGACCAGAGCAAGCGGCTCACAGACTCAAAGTTTTCTGGGTTTTAAGTACTCCTTGTGAGGTCCCTATCAGCTACCCCTCACCTGGATGAAGGATTTGGTCCACGGCTAATGAAAGGCTGAGGTGAACTGTCACTGCATGCAGATGAAGGGACGGCTGGTGCTTGGCCCGAGGCCAGTCCAGGGCCTTTCCCTTCCGCCTGAGCTGTGGCGGAAGCGGGAAGGCTATAGGGTGGTAGGGCTTTTCCTTTTGGCTTAGCTTTAGGAGGCTTGCGTTAATTGGTTAACCGGTCTTAGGTTCCCTACCCCCATGCCGCCACCTTGGTATTTTCCCTTGAATCAGCTTTAGGAAGTCAGCACATATTGGTCTTAAGTTCCCTGGCTCCAGACCCTATTCTCCTGCCTCGGTAGTAATAATAATAGTATGCTCCTCGTAGCATTGTGCTGAGGATTAAATGAGATAACTAAATATGTCTGAAAGGGTGAAAATAAGCTGAAATTGATGGAGTAATGGGCAACAGTGGCAAACTTACTTTTCACTGCGTATCCTTATATTGTGTTTGAATTTTTAACATTCACATTCATCACCAAAATATAAATACCTACACACGCACATAAAGCATTATTACATACATCCATAGACACTGTCAAAAATAATAAGATAATTTATGTACCTTTTTAGCACAGTGAGTAATAAATAATTTCATAAGGCCTAATTCATTATTAGCTTATCAAATATTAAGCACTCATAAATAAATATCTACTATTAAGTAAAAGATACTAGGGTATGTATATGTGTGTGTAATTACATATACATGAATGAAAAGATTTATGCTGAAAGATAACAGAAATTTGTTCTGAATAATGAGATTGTGAAGTAATTGATACTGTTTCTGCTGGCCTAATTTTCTGCAATAAACGAGTTATCTTCATAACTAGAAAAAAATTTTAATTGTTTACTAATGCAATGCAATCATCATAGGATATTTATTCTCACACGGTTATTTCAATAAATGTAAAATTAAAGTATCTGTTATATTTCAGGTATATTGGCTGAAGTTCTTGCTGTGCTGACTTTGAAAGTATCTGCTACAAGTGGAAAACAAACATTGAATCTGATAGGCTATGGCAAGGGTACTGAAGTATAAGGGTTACTAAGTAGGTCAGTCTTTGACCTCATGAGTGCACACAAAAAACTGTTTAAAACAAAAAATCCAGGGGGAACACAGATACTGTAAAACAGAGGTTGTAAAAAATCTTTTTACCCACCAAGAAGAGTGGCTGCATCATACCTGTACAGGATGCTGCTCCGGATTGGCAAGAGGGAGTCGTAAATGGTCAGGGAGTCAGTGACACAGTTGTCGGCTTCGATTTGAATGGACTTGATTGACAGACGAATTAGGTAGCCCATTATGGCCACCAGCTTGAAGTGACACGTCAGCCTCCCTGAGGTTGAAGAAATCTCCAGCGGGTAGTGGAGAGACAGATGCTCTGCATAGAAGTACTGAGAGCAGCCTTTGTCTGTGGAGACAGGACCATTTTTCTTTCTTTTCTTTCTTTTAGGAAAGACTTTTCTAGAAATCTTTACAGAGAAAGTAAAGAGCAAAAGAGGTCATGTGAAGGACATATGCTGCCTTTGCCAGCATAGGTCCATTTCCCTGCCTTCTGGCAACAGCCCTGGATTTTGTCTTTAGAAACTACCCTTACCCTGTCTATATATTTTGGTTGGGGTTAAACTCAACCCTAGTTTCAGAGGTGGGCCCATAACCCAGGCTGGCCAATCAGAGTCAAAGTCATTTCAAGAATAAGCATGTCAACCAATCCAGACAATGAGAGTCAGCCCCAGGACTTCTGCAAGAGCAGTCGGATATACCTGGAGGTGTTTTCACCATGGTTGAGAAAGTGATAAAATTGTAAGTTTCGATCTGCTTGGTGGTCCTTTTTACAACCACAACGGAAGAGCACACTTGACAACGAAGCCCCCCCAGAAGTAGGCAGAGATGCAGAGCTCTGATGAGATTTTTATTTTAGATCCTAGGCTCAACCATGACTAACGGCCAGCACACTCCACGTATGTCCCACTTACATGAAGCAGTCAAGCTTCTTTTGTGCTTAAGCCAGTTTAAATGTGTTTCTGTCACTTGCAATTTAAAAAGCAATAACAAATACCATCATTAGCAAAGGAAAATTACAGCCAAAAACAATATTAACCTGGGGGGAGGGGAACCACATGAAAGAATTTACCAGATCCTATGGTTGACGAGTAATCCGACCGAAGCCCAGCTGCATTGAAAAAGTACATGGAGAAAAGACTGTGAATCCTGTCATTTCAGTTTGTTAGAATTTTGCTTAGTAAAAATTATTTTCAGTCCTTCTTTAAAAGAAATTAAATACATCTGGGATTTACTTTAAAATAATGCAGCGAGGATGGGGTAGTTGTTTAGGTATTTAGAGATCAAACAGAACAGTCGTGAGTTGAGAGTTGTCCGAGCTGAATAAGGGGAATAGAGTTCACTATACTATTCTCTTCACCTTCGTATCCTTGACATTGTAGTTGCAAGCTTCAAATAGTTTCAAAGGTAAAAAAGCACCGAACAAATATGATATTAGTCCTATATATGAAATACTACATGGGATACAGAATTTTCTAAAGATTTCTCATTTATTTAACAAATATTTATCAGCCCCCTACCATATGCCTAGTGTATGCGTGTGTGTATATATAATATATATACTTATGTAGATAACATATATGTATCTATATCATATATAAGCATATGTATTTATATTTATATATGTATATATACACATACATTTATGTTTATAACATGTATTCATATGTGCATTTTATATAACATTTAAATAAAAAAAAAACTGCATAAATTTTGAGTTATGCAACAATTAAACCATTTTACTATCAAGGCAAACAATGACATTTGCATTTGGGGCTATGAAGCAAGCTGTTCTGGAGGGCTGGGCAGCATTACATAGCAAAGGTACAGTTCTGTCTGGGCAAGTAAAGTAACAAGATAAACCTCAGCAAAATTCTTCCTTGCCTAGGACTTTGCTCTCTGGGGACTTAGTTTGACGATCATGACCTGACTAAAGGTAGGCAGAGGTACACAGTAACGAATTCAATTTCATGCATATGTTGTTTCCAAAACTATTGTTCAATTGCAATATACAACTTTTAGCAATTTCCTTTACTAACATAGCTCCAATGTCTTTAGTTAATCCTGCACTGCTGGGATTGTGGGAGATAATGCTTCATTACAATGTTGACCACAATCATGGCAAGTAACAGGAGCGCTGCAGGAAGGAATGCTAAAGGAGAATCGCCCAACAATCACCATTTAGTACCACAGAGTCCATGTCCACAGCCAGACCCTGCAAGCTCCCCACAGAGGTCCGATTTATGATGCTTGTCTGGATGGAATCCTTCAAGATGGCGGCCACACAGTCTTCACAGAAGATGTGGCCTTTGGCACGTGGCATGACGAATACAATCCAAAAGTGGACAAGGAGGCCACCCTTGTTGTTGCTGCTATAACAAAAAAAGAGAGATCATCAGGGACCTCATAGGACCTTATGGAGAACCAGTACCCAGCTGATAGATTCAAGGTAAGGCTGGTTAGCACATCCTTCAACTGAAGCTAGTGCCCTTCTTTAGGTAGTCATTAACTTCTGTTAGCAAGACTGACAAAGGACAGCATCATGTAATATGCATTCAGACATTTGTATGGGATTCAAATCTAAAACCATGACTGTATAGTTGCATCTCCATGGAGAATACACTATTTCTCTGGATATCAATCAGTATTCACTGCCATTAAAATATAAAACCACTATAATGTTTGATACTCCGCCATGTCAGGACACTGTGCTAAATCTGCTTTATTCCAGTTAATCTAATGAGAAGGTCCAATTATTATTCCAGTTTTATAGGAGGAAACAGGCCAAATACAACTCCAAGACACATAGCTAGTAGCAGATCCAGCAATTAAGCCCAATTTGATTTGCAGTCTGCTCCCAGAGCCTGAGCTCCTAATGGCATAAATACTGCCATGTTTTATGAAAGGAACAGAAGATGGTGTTCTGCAGTAAATGACCTGGGAAATGGAAGGTTAAGGAAACTAATCGAGCTGCGTTACTCCAAGACTTCTCAGAGTTTTTATATGTCAAAGTGGATTGTGACTCTCTGCAGATATATTGGGAATAGTGGGGTGGGATATAATATACAATCTTTTCTAAAAATTATTTGACCACAAAAGCCCTTTTTTCTCAGAAGATTGCTAGTGACCAGTTTTTCACTGAACATTAAGAAATCATGGTCTGTGCTTTATTTTTGCCTCCACCCTCCACCCAATATGACAGCCAAGTTTACGGCCACTTTGCACAGCAGCGCTGCTATAGAGGTCCGGGATTCTAGCTGTGGGGAGAAAGCAGGAATTTGGTAGATAAAGAGCAAAAACACAGCATGAAAGCCAGGCAGTGAGTTGGGTCACTAGTTGTGCTAATACAGCATGAATCCCTAACACCCCCAAGAAGCTACTTGGGAATGGTGGAATCTCAGCCTTCTCGTAGCTTTGAATGGAATTTAAAGCAATGAACACGGAAATCCCAAAATAAGGGACATGCATTACCTGACATCTGCAACAACAGACTGCTCATAAAATCTGGAGAAGGCAGATGTTGTATAAACCAGGTTTATCTGAAAAAGAATAGTTGAGGTACCTGAAGTATTTCATACTTGACTTCCTTTCACAGTATCTTAAATGTGGTAGGCCCAAGCTCTGACAGTCAACAAGGAGAAGTGCGATCCTCAAAATAAAGGCTCCTAATCCCACACCAGACATTATTTCTTGAATTCAAATAAATTCTTGCTTCCTGCAAAAATCTTGGGTGACTTTTATTCTGCTATCTGTGAAGAATCAGTAACCTTCAATCATTTATTGCTCTCTTTAAACTCAAGCTTAACTTCTGCATTCTTCCCATTCCAGAGGTTAATTTTCTCCACAGTTAACAAATCAAACTCATTTAAGCACATTTTCATAGTACAGTATCTGACCCAACGTCTTTTCTATCAGCGTACCAGCGTTGACTACGTATATTCTTAAGGACACATTCCCATATGAGCCACTAGGGGGCGAATGGTACCCACAGCCAAGTCTACCAGCTCCCTTCAGAACAAACTCTAGGGAAAGGCCCTAGCCCTTTTAAAATTTCGTCATTTGATCTCAAAGGAGAGCTCTGTTTCAATCGATTTACCTTCTTGGCCCTCATCCAGCATTTCTAAAAACCAAACTCACTCTCTTCTCCCAAGTCATCTTCTCTGGTATTCCCCTTCCTACGTAATTTGAAACCACCCACGTAATTGCCCATGATTAAAAAAACAATTTTTTTTTTTTTTTTTTTTTTTTTTTGACAGCGTTTCGCTCTTCTTACCCAGGCTGGAGTGCAATGGCGCGATCTCGGCTCACCGCAACCTCCGCCTCCTGGGTTCAGGCAATTCTCCTGCCTCAGCCTCCTGAGTAGCTGGGATTACAGGCACACGCCACCATGCCCAGCTGATTTTTTGCATTTTTAGTAGAGACGGGGTTTCACCGTGTTGACCAGGATGGTCTCGATCTCTTGACCTCGTGATCCACCCGCCTCGGCCTCCCAAAGTGCTGGGATTACAGGCGTGAGCCACCGCGCCCGGCCAAAAAACAATTTTTTTTAACCCTTAGAAATTACAAAGTGTAGTGGAAACTTTATGAGCTGCGGAGTTTAAATTCACTGTGCAACACAGAATATGTTGCCTAAACCTGTTTAGCCTTCGTGGTTGCTGTTTTCTTTTCCTTTTTCACCTGTGAAGCGGTAATCAAAACACCCACCTCTTTGGGATAATTTGAGAAATAATTGGTATGCAGTCATATGCCACATGACATTTTGGTCAGGGAAAGACCACATATATGACAGTAGTCCCATAAGATTATGACGGAGCTGAGCAACTCCTACTGCTAGTGATTTGTGTCACAATCGCCTATACTGTTCAGTACAGTGACATGACCGTCCAGGTTTGTGGCTTAGGAGCAGTAGTCTACACCATCTAGCCTGGGTGTGTAGTAAGCCATTCCAGCCATGTCTGTGTACATACACTCTATGATGTTTGCACCACAGTACATAGAAAGCACTCCATAAAGCAAAAGCTGCTCTGAGCACTATTGTCTGATTTTCCCTCTCTGTCACCGCCTTTCCTCATTCTACACAGCCAGTCATTGTGTCAAGGTCATCACTATGACAACCCCCTCCCCTACTGTGGAAATACAAATGGACAGCAACCTTCTAGTTGGTGACCTGTGCCAAGAGCCATGAATAGATACTTTTCTATTTGGACAAGTAATTATACTTTTAGGAAACCACCTAAGAGAGTAATCAGAGATACTCACAAGTAATGAGGCAGTTTCACCGTCACATTATCTATGGCAAAAATTGGAAACAGCCTAAACATCCAATAAATAGGGATTTGCTAACTTTGAGGCTACTGTAACTTACATTTTTAAAGGAAGATTTACTTGTACAGAAGCACACAATAGTATGTTAAAATACTAGTTTATAAAACTGAATATAATATCCCAATATTGCACTATTCGCTATGTTTGTGTATTCCAGAATAAAAAGGAGCTTTATCTCTGGTGATAACATGAAAGAAGATATTAGTTTTGAAAACACAATCATCTGAATGTTGCTAATTTTTATAATAAACTTATTAGTTCTATAATGAGAAAGTTATTTTCTTTTTTACCATGAAGAGATTGCCAATGCATCAAGGCTGAAATAAATGTGTACGATAATGGAATTAATTGGTATGCATGTAACTTCAGAATTGGAAGGTATTTTAAAGGTCATCTGATTCCAATTCCTTTATTTTATGGATAAAATAAAGGAAACTTAGAGAGCTTTTTTTTTTTTTTCACATTGGAGCATGGGGGCGGAGGGAGAAATTCTATCTTATAGCCAAGATGTGCTAAATTTCATGTTTTCCTCTGACACCTTCCTTTGTCTACCCCACACTCTACTTCCCTAAACCCTGCTCACCTGTGACACCTGTGGTCCCCTCCAGCTTCATCCCCCGCTGCCCCCCAAACCCACTCTAACCCCTTCTGCCCCCATCACCTCACCACTTGCTGCACAGTCCGTGCCACGGAAAGAAATTCCCTGGACTCCTTTTGTCGGTATTCCGGAAGAAATTCAATGTTGGTGATGCGAAACATCCCAGCAAAGTAAAAAGCGTCTTTGCTTTCTGTCTTACCTGTAAAATGGGAGAGAACGTGATTGGGAGGCTTTCCCACCTGTGAGGCAGTAAGGAGCTGTCTGAGCTATGTCAGAATGAGGCTCCCAAAATAATTTTATTTTAGGCAGCTACATATCTAACTGGCTTAGAGCCCGTGAAGTTTTAAATTTAGTAAACAACATCCATTTCATCAGCAGCAAATAACCATATCTCAGAATATGTCTTCGATCTGCTCTGGAAAATACGAGCAAGGTTAAAAGGATCTCATGGCCCCTGTGTGTTACTTTTTTGTGGCCCATATATACCCCACTTTATCATAATTTCTCCCTGTCTGTCTCCTTTATGGGCTCTCTGAAGGAATAAACAGTAATTTATTTTGATTCCTCAGCCTCTCATGTAGGCAGTGCCTGGCTTTGCTTTGAAGTTCAGTAAACATTTGAAGGAAGGAAGGGAGGGACAAAGTAGGTAGAGGGAGAGCGAGAGAAAGAAAGAAAGAGTGAGAGAGAGAGAGAGAGAGAGAGGGAGAGACAGAGGAGAGAGAGAGAGAGAGAGAGGAGAGAGAGAGGGGAGAGAGAGAGAGGAGGGAGAGAGAGGAGGGAGAGAGAGGAGGGAGAGAGGGGGGAAAGAGAGAGAGAGAGAGAGGAATATTCCCACTCAGCACAAGGCCCAGCAGATGGAAATGCTAGATAAATGATGGCTAAATTAAAAAGAAGTTGCAACATCTGTGAGTGATAGGAAACAGCTTCCCTTGTAAGATCCATCCAAGGTCGCTTTAGTGCCAGGAAGTGTAGGGAGGCTGGGGAGGGGAGCAGGCAGCTCAGGGTAAGAGGGGAGGGGTCTTGAACTCCTGTCCTCGATTTGTTTTTTCAGGTAACAAGAATTTGGACTGGCCACCTTGCCTCTAGGCCTACCCCATACAACAACAGTTGCCGTTGCTTTGGTTTTTTGGTTTTTTCCCAGGAAGGGGTTCATATTTCATTCCAGAAGCTCACACATCCGTCTCATGTCAGTAACACTCTAGAGTCAGAACCACCACCATGCAAGGAAGATGAATTTAGCATTAAATCAGACTCCGTTTACCTAACTCTTCAGCTCAGCCTGTACACCACGCTCCATGGTCTCCCTGTTTATCTGTCTACCTCCTTTCTCAAGGCCACCCTCCGTGCCTTTCAGGATCAAAACTAACCAGTTTTCTACTGAAAAATTCATGTATCAAAACTACCAGTTTTCTATTGAAAAATTCTTACTTAGCCGGGCGCGGTGGCTCACGCCTGTAATCCCAGCACTTTGGGAGGCCGAGGCGGGTGGATCATGAGGTCAAGAGATCGAGACCATGCTGGTCAACATGGTGAAACCCCGTCTCTACTAAAAATACAAAAAATTAGCTGGGCATGGTGGTGCGTGCCTGTAATCCCAGCTACTCAGGAGGTTGAGGCACGAGAATTGCCTGAACCCGGGAGGCGGAGGTTGCGGTGAGCCGAGATCGCGCCATTGCACTCCAGCCTGGGTAAGAAGAGCGAAACACTGTCTCAAAAAAAAAAAAAAAAAAAAATTCTTACTTGTCCATACCACTCTCCCGTTGCTTGTACTGATCTGTTCCCATAAGTGGCCTTCTCTGATTTTACACAGGCAACAAACTACATCTGCACGAGGATGTTGTAAAACTTTATATGAAAATGTTAGAACAGTACAAATGTGTCAGCTGGGGAGCAGCAGAGAAATGATGGCAAATAAGCTGCTTTGTTCTGGGTTGGGGTTGTGTGTGTTTGTCTAAAGGGCCCATTGACTTGACTTCCCCACTAGTCTCCTCAAGGACAGAGATTGTATCTTGCTCACCACTCTGCTCCCATGCCCACCATGGTACCCAACAGTTAATGGGCAGTCTCAAGGTGTGTCAAATGAATGTTCAGGAACCAGTTCATGAAGCCTTCTCTGGATGCCATCCCTGGGCAATTTGGATGTCTCTCTACTGTGATCACAAGATAATAGTTTAAGCAAAAAATTCAATTCACACCTCTCTCCAGCACTGAACCGTGAACTTTTTGAAAGTAGAAAATGCATCTGTGGGCTGGGTGTGGTGGCTCACACATGTAATCCCAGCATTTTGGGAGGCCGAGGCAGGCAGATCATGAAGTCAAGAGATTGAGACCATCCTGGCCAACACGGTGAAACCCCGTCTACACTAAACATACAAAAATTAGCTGGGCATGGTGGCATGCACCTTTAGTCCCAGCTACTCTGAAGACTGAGGCAAGAGAATCGTTTGAACCCAGGAGGCGGAGGTTACAGTGAGCCGAGATCACACCACTGCACTCCAGCCTGGTGACAGAGCCGGACTCTGTCTCAAAAATAAATAAATAAATGAAATAAAGAAAATCCATGGGCTTTCTGAAGGTAGGAGATGCATTGTGGTGTGTCTGATTCCCTACATTCTGCCAAGAAAATCACAGGTTATCAATTTGTATGCATATAAGTGACCTGAACTATCCAAGACAATATTCATTCATTCTTTGCCTACAAATCTTCCCTTCCAATCGGATTTTCATATCTCTGAAAGTACATCTAGGAAAACTGTTTCTCTATTCATAACACTTCTGTCACCAAATGTAGCAGGGACTGGGGGTTCCCACGCCAAGCAATTCTCCAATTATTTGCAGACACCAACTGAATGTCCAATGATTCAATTCAATTCTGACACCAGCTACCAAGAGTTCGTGTCAGATCCCAAAGGTTAAATGCTCATTTCCACGAGACTGCTTTCCACTGCAGATGCTATCAGGTCCCCAGGCTACCCACACTGCTGTCCAAATTGGCGACAAATTGGCTGTTCTCATATAGCCCTCAGGTTTCATAATTTGCTCTAGACTCTCAGAACTCAAAGAAACACTTTACTATTACTTATTTATTATAAAAGATACAAATGAGCAGCCAGATGAAGAAGTACCTAGGAGGAGGTCCAGAAGGTCTATAGAGCAGGAGCTTCTGTCCCTGTGGAGGTGGAGCATGCCACCCTCCCAGCAACTGGATATGGTCACCAACCTGGAAGCTCCTTGAACCCCGTCATTTAGGGTTTTTATGGAGGTCAATTTGAGATCATTGGCCATTTGTGATTGAGCTCAATCTTCAGTCCCTCCTGAAAGTTATAATTCTCTAAGCACGTGGTTGGTTTCTCTGGTTACCTAGGGGCTTTCAGCCACCAGTCACTAACATATAAAAAGACATTCTTAGAAGCTCTGTGTTAGGAACTGGGGACTAAGAGCAACTATTATAACAAGTGTATGTATATAAAACAAAAGATGCTCCTATCCTTTCTATCATTCAGGAAGCTACAGAGTGCTAGAAGCCCTGAGTCAGAAATCTGGGGCACAGAATAACTACATATTTCACATTATGTCATGGTGCATATTTGATATTTTGTATCAAATATATTAACATGTATAGGATGGCAACTCCAACACAAGTCAACAAAGGCTATTCTTACGGCGTTGCATAAGTAAGAACTCTACAGGAAAGGGGTTAGTTATGACACCCGTCCAAACGGATCAGTCAGATCAACAAACACATAATAACAGAGGAGAGAAAGATGCATGTGCAAAATGGAGCTCAGGGAGCTGGAAATTCAAGGTTGCCTAGAAACAAGTGGTGGGTGGAATGAGGAAATGAAACAGCTTAGCATTCCATTAATTTTTTTAAAGCTACAAATGCATTACATTTCTGAACCAGTCAAAATCTCCTGAGCATCACTCTCAGCTCTTCCCATCCTATCCCCAGTCTCCTCCTCTTGCTCTCCTGTGGGAAGAGTGGTGTTGGTAAAAAAAAGAAATGAGAAAGATAATTCTAGTGTATGTCTCCTTAAAACATCAACACCAGGCTGGGCGCCATGGTTCACACATGTAATCCTAGCACTTTGGAAGGCCAAGGTGGGCGGATTGCTTGAGTACAGGAGCTTGAGACCAGCCTGGGCATCATAGTGAGACCTCTGTCTCTACAACAAATTCTAAAAATTAGCCCAGGTGTGGTGGCATGTCCCTGTGGTCTCAGCTACTCAGGAGGCTGAGGCAGCAGGATTGCTTGAGCCCAGGAGTTCAAGGTTGCAGAGAGCTGCGATTGTGTCACTCCATTCCAGCCTGGGCGACACAGCAAGATCCTGCCTCAAAACAAAATAACAAAAAACCATCAACACCAGTTTTGGAAATGGTGCATCCATCTTGGAAAGAGGAAAATCCCATCAGAAACACATATGTTAGGCCTGCATTGCTAATGCTAGATTCACACCATAAACCCTAACCCCAAAGAAACACAGATTTGTAACTTACTGATATAGAGCCACAGAAGTGTCCAGGCTATGACTGCTAGGATGAATAAAAATCCTGTGAAGAGAATGATCTTATTTTGTACATTCCAAAAGGGAGCTTTTTTCTTGGATTGCTTCTTGGGTTTGGATTTGCCAGTGGGTTTTTGCAGTGGTCGTCTCCCTGGCAATGGTGGTCGTCTCCCTGGCAGCTTGTTTTGGGCACTGACCACTTGGACTGAGATATTGGATATCTTAAATTAAAAAAAAAAAAAAAAAAGATATATTACCAAGTAGAAGTAGTCTAAAGCTTAAATGAAACTACTCAGTCAGGAGATGTTGGTGCTAAAACGCCTAAATATAACTAAGCATTCTTATTTATGTAAGTATATCAAATTATTAAGTATAAGAAGTTGATTTGTACCAAGTCACAAAATGAAGACCAGATAAACTAGACATTTCTATATATGAGCCCTAGTGAAATGGTTTCTAGGTTCTTTCCTCAACTCTCCAACTCTGTTGAAGAGATGCTATGGAGGAGAGGCCTGAATTTAATGGGGTAAAGTAGACTAGCAGATTTGAAGGTTAAGAGATTAAGGTTAAGATTCTATGTGGGTAGATTCATGTGTGTACACAGTCCTTTTTTTTTGAGACAGAATTTCACTCTTGCTGCCCAGGCTGGGGTGCAATGGCGTGATCTTGGCTCAGTGCAACCTCTGCCTCCTGC